TTGGGGGGACGCACGGGTTTCTTAGCGGGCATTTCATAAGCAAGTCTGTGACCCGCAGCCTCTGAAGAGCCGCGACTGGCAGACGCTTCTGGGCAAATCACATCCGTGTCCCTCCTAATCCCGGGTCGCAGTCTGTGCCTCCGCCCCCGCCCCCTGCTGCCACCGCCACCGGGATTTCCGGATTTAGCCTCCGGATAGAACTCGGGGACGTCACAGCCCCGGGCGGGTGCAGGGCTTGTGCCCCGTGTCACAGCCAGGGCGGGCTCCGAGGGGCTGCGGTGACATCGCCGCCCGGTCTGTGCTCGCCCGGCCCAGGCGGTGCTGGTGACGAGCAGAGGCGCCTGGCAGCCGAGGGTCCGGGCCGGGCCCCGTCCCTGCCAGGGAGCTCGGGCACGTCGGGGGCCATGCCCCACTGCCTTCTGTGGGTCTGCCTGGCCGTGTGGGAGGCCAGCGCGGACCTCCCGCTCATTGCTGACAACGATGCCGCCCTGACGGTGAACTGGTAAGGAGCGCGGGGTGCTGGCAGTGGGGGCGCGACGGGCTGTTCGTGGGGGTCTCCGGTGCCACCTGGCCGTGCAGCTCCCTGGGGAGACGGGGAGGAGCTTCGAGAAGTGGCGGCCGAGCTGAGCTGAGGTGAGGACTTTGGCTACATTGCAAGGAGTGGAAGGTGTGGGCAGGGAGCCTGGCTGACCTGTGGACGTGGGGGACCAGGCCTGGGGTCCCCCTGGAGCAGACCCCAGTGGGGCCGCCAACGCGGGGTGGTCTGCAGGCTGTGTGGGGCCGTCTGAGACTGAACACGGCTCTGAGGGTGTTTGCTGCTGGAGCCGAGGCCCAGGGCTCAGCAAGGCCCGCGGCGCTCAGCAGTGGCCGGCGCCGGGCTGTGGCCGTGCCCACGTCCCCGCGGCCCCAGCCGGGCGAGAGCAGGGGACAGGGGCCAGCGGAAAACCCAGGGGCACAGGGAGGGGCCGCGGTGCGTGTAGCAGCAGGACCGGGCCTCCCGCGGCGTCTGAGCGGAGGGCACCACCCCCCGATTCTTCGTCGTGGGGTTTGAAATCTTTCCTGTCTCGAACGCGTTTCTGCCGTTGCTGTGCCTTTCGTTTTGTTTGATTTTGGGACGGAGGGCAGAGGTCGCTCTCAGACGATGGGAAAGAGAAACGACCGGCGTTTCAGAAAGCAAATCGGGACAGGGACCTCGCTCGTAAAATCTCAGAGCCGGCGATGCCACAGCAAACCGCGGCGCCTGGAGCACCGCCTGGAGCACCGCCTGGAGCACTGACGCCACAGCAAACCGCAGCGCCTGGAGCACCGCCTGGAGCACCGCCCCCCCCGCCGGCTCCTTCCGCTCCTCCCCGTGACCCCGGCCCTGTCCTCTGGTGCTGCACGCAGCATGGTGACCCCAGGAGAGGCCACCGCCCTGTCCTCCCGGCCCGGCCAGGCTCCGGGCGTGGGCGGTGCTGACCGGGAGGGGGCTGACCAGGCCTCCCTGGGGGTGTCCTGTGGGGGTCAGAACTCACTCCATCCTTTTTATGCTTTCCTGCTGGGCCGTGTGGCGACACTCCAGAGCCCGGAAGTCCCTGCCCCGTCACACCGAGCTGGGGGACCGTGGCCAGGAGGCGTCCGAGGACACGCCCCGCAGGCCGAGGAGAGGGAGGCATCGCGTCCCTTTGCACGCCCACCTGTTTCGCACGCGTGGCTGTGACAGCGCACACTCCTTCTTCAGCGGCCCCGGCTATTTCTGTGCTGCCGGCTGTGCCTCCCAAAGCCCACCCAGGGGACTCTCTGGACGCCCGGAGCAGGGGCAGGAGAGCAGGGAGCAGGGTATGTGCAGGAAGGAGGGTGGCCCGTCCTGCGGGAGTGTGGCCCGGGCCTCAGCGCCAGGCGCGGGGGCTGTTCCCTCAGGGCCCACGCGGGTGGAGGCGCCGCAGGTTAAGGCCTCGCACGGCCCCTAAAGCCGCCGCCACAGCTGGTGTCTCTGTGGGCAGCTGCAGGGAGGGGCGACTCGGGCTCCCGGCTGCCAGCACCGCGCAGGAGCTGTGCCCCAGACCACGGGGGTGGGTGCAGGAGGGTGACGTGGGTGTGCTCGGTGGCCGCCAGCTCCCCCAGACGGGGTGTGGGGCGTGCAGCGGCCCCCAGTCCCCCAGATGCGGTGTGGGGTGTGCTTGGTGGCCCCCAGCCTCCTAGACGGGGCGTGAGGTACATTCGGTGGGCCCCCAGTCCCCCAGACGGGGTGCGGGGCGTGCGGCGGCCCCCCAGCCCCCGGTGGGGCATGCAGAGGCCCCAGTCCCCCCAGACGGGGTGTGGGGCGCACAGCGGCCCCCAGCCCCCCAGATGGGGTGTGGGTGTGCTTGGCGGCCCCCCAGTCCCCCCAGGCAGGGTGCGGGGCGTGCAGCGGCCCCCAGCCCCCGGTGGGGCATGCAGAGGCCCCCAGCATCCCCAGACAGGGCGTGGGGTGTGCGGCAGCCCCCCGGTCCCCCTGGCGGGGCGCGGCCCGGCTCACCCGTGCTGGTGCTGGCATTCTCCGTGCCCACCGTCTGCCCCATCAGGTGGTACTGGTTCAGCCTGGAGCCGTCTTCTGCTACCACCACCGACTTGGCGGTGCCGTTGGTCCAGACGTAGACGACTTCGGAGTTGGGGTACGCGTCTGCATGGGGGACAGAATGTGGCATGACCACGGCGCCCTCCGCAGCCTGTGCGCCCCAAGGTGTTTGCAAAAGTCATGAGAGAGAGAGAGAGAGATGGCTGTGAGCCACGCGGGGCGATGCGGGGTGGGCGAGCGGGCGCTGGGCCGGGCGGAGGCCACCGCTCCGGCCCTCCCCATCCGAGGTCCCGGCGCCTCCGGCGATTCCGCTCTGGGGCCCTGAGCCCGTGGCCCCGGCCTCAGCGTCCCCACCTGGACGATGGGGCGGTGACCACCCGCTTCTCAGGGCTCCTGCTGCTGTGACGCAGGCTGCACGGTGACGCACGTGTGTGGCAGCCGGGTGGCCCCTGACCGCGCCCGCTATGCGAGGGCCCCACTTGGCGACGGCCCCCGTCCTGCTGTCCCACGCGGTCCTGCTGGGGACGTGGCGTGGTGACCCGGCCTTCGTCCCCGGTGTCACACCGTGAGTGTCACTGCCTGTGGACGTCACGTGCCCCGGCACCGCGCAGGTGGAATTAGGGCCCGGGCCTCAGAGCCAGCAGATGATCCCGGATTATCCCGGGCGGCTCGGCGTAATCGTTTGAGCCTCAAAACGCAGGACTCCGCCAGCGGGAGGCGGAGAGACGCAGCTCAGGGACACAGACGCCACCGCTCAGGGACACGGACGCCACCGGCCCCGCCGGCCTCGCCGGGGGAGGAAGGGCCCGTGAGCCAAGCGGCGTGGGGAAGGTGACAGTGACCCCAGGAGCGGAGCGGGCGGCACCTCTGGAACTGGGGCGCGGGCCTCTGCGTCATTTCGCCTCCCCCAGCTTCGGGGGCGTAAGCGACGTGCAACGTCGTCTAAGTTTCAGCTGCGGAAAGTTACGGTTCGCACATCCTGAGACTCGGCGGCCCTAAGACGTTAGTTATAAACACGTTATAAAGCGCTAGGTGTGTGACGCCTTGTCAACGCTGCGGCACGACAGCGGGACGGGTGGACGGGGAAGGGACAGGCAGCAGCCCGGGGCCCGGCGGGGTGAGCTGGGCATGACGAAGACGGGAGCGGCCCGGTCGCAAGCGGGGTGTCCGGGGAGGCCCGACTCGGGGTCCCGCGTGCTG